TTAGGTTCAATATTAAGGGTACCCAGATTTGATGGTGATGGTCCCCTTAACCCATTGCCACTGGGGAAAATGAATAAGAAATGGGGAAAATGCGGTGCTCATTTTTTATATTTTTGGTGAAAGGTCTCTATACATAGATGGCTCTGCTAATGCTTAGCCTTACCTGACTTCACCTTTCCTTGAATTGGCGGGAAAATGTATTTTTTTACTAGTGCTATGAATATCAATGGTGTTTTTTTTTTATTATAAACATTATAATGACCATGTAATAAACATTAGTAATGGCAAAATAAGATAACATAAAATATTTTTGTAAATCAAAGAAAAGGGTAAACGGGCGAGACAGGCAGTACTCGTAATTGGCCCATTGGTGACTCAGTACAAGTGTAGCCATCTGTGTAAAAACAACTAAACAAGTAAACTCATAGTGGGCATGGCATGGCAAGTCCATCGGCAATGGATTAAGAGTCAAAGCATGGCCAAATAAGAGGTAAAAGCACCTCCAAAAACCCCACCACCACCACTTCCTTGACCACAATGCAGTTCAGTTCAGGGGACGCACTTACCCTCATAACCTCGGGTGAAGTCATGGGCACCGGAGCTTCTGTGGTGGCTGGTGGAACTCTGCTCTTCATGGCCGTAGAGGTCGTACTGCTTTCTCTTCTCCGTGTCGCTCAGCACAGCAAAGGCATTACCTACAGCTGATGAAACAGGGAGGCTTGGATGTATGCTAGTTAAAGTAATTTAAGTACAAGCACAAGTGCACCTGCCTTCGAGACAGGGCGGTTATTATACACTTACTGGAAACTATTTTAGTAACTTTCAGGGAATTATATCTGAACATATGGTATATATCCTCCCTTACAATAGCTGGAGAAAAACTCACTGATAAATTAAGTAATTCTAAACCACTCACTATGTCACCTATACACCAAAAAAATCTACTTGCATAAATTTTTCTCATACACCACAGCATAGCAAATTTAGCTTCAAAATGTAAAGAGAAGAGAGTATATCACAGGATCGAGACTAATTTCCCCATAACTGTTCTGGGTGAAGTGCCAGAAAGGAAGCCTGAGGCCTTGTGGATATGGGCTGTACCTAACTGACAGACTTCACGAGTGGCTGAAACCTGAGAGGGTTAAAAAATGTCAAACAGGTGTATATCTATAACAGGAGAGAATCTTACCTTTAAAAGCCTCTCCTGCTCCGGGTGCCTTGTTTTTGTCAGGGTGAAATTGTAGTGCTAACTTCCTATATGCTTTCTTGAGATCACTCTCTGTTGCATCTTTTGTCAGGCCTAAAATCTCGTAGTAATCTTTACACCTCATGATTCTGAGAGGAGAGTGATTAACATACATTCAAGGTAATGGCCAAGTATGGTGGTTATGGCTGCAGAGATGCAGGTCTCTTGACAAACAGGTGCATGCAGAAGCACATACACACACAGTCAATTAAGTACAGATGAAAATAAACAAAATCCATTGTGTGCAATCTCAAATTATTCATAATGGATTGTATACAATAAAATTCCATCTTTTAAACTTAAATCATAAAAACAGGTTATCTCAGGGTCTTACCCACCTTAAATACCATGGGCTGTAATTATGCTCACTGACTTGATTAGTCTATCACCTGACAGGCAACTGAACATTATCATTGCCCTTCTTCCTTCTCCTCCTCCTCCTCAATCCCCCCTCCACCTCCACCTCTCTGCTCTCATGATCCCCCTAAACCCTTCCCTCCGCTCACCTTTTCACAGAGTCCACCTGCTCCTGGGTGTACTCCCCTGTAGAATTTACGGAGGTGCTGTTTGAAGAGCCTGTTCTTTCGTCACTTGCACTTGCTGTGCGTCGTTGTCGGAAACCCTCGCTGCTAGTGCCCCCTCCCCGGCCCCCTCCGCCCCCTCCTCTGTCTCCATCACTCCCAGCAGTGCCATTGCTGTGCTGCGTGTGACTCGTCGTGTCGTTTAGTCGGTTCAGCAAATCAAGGAAGGCTGGAAGGAAGGAAACACCATTCTGGGTTAGCACATATGGAAAAGGGAAATGGGGGGGGGGGGGGGGGGAAGAGAGAGAGAGAGAGAGAGAGATGAGAGAGAGAGATGAGAGAGAGAGAGAGAGAGAGAGAGAGAGAGAGAGAGAGAGAGAGAGAGAGAGAGATATGGAGAGAGAGAGAGAGAGAGAGAGAGAGAGAGAGATATGGAGAGAGAGAGAGAGAGAGAGAGAGAGAGATATGGGAGAGAGAGAGAGAGAGAGAGAGAGAGAGAGAGAGAGAGAGAGAGAGAGAGAGAGAGAGAGAGAGAGAGAGAGAGAGAGGGAGGGAGGGAGGGAGAGAGGGAGAGAGGGAGGGAGGGAGGGAGGGAGGGAGGGAGAGAGAGAGAGGGAGGGAAGGGGAGAGGGAGAGATAGGGAGGGAGATAGGGAGAGGAGTGGGATAGGGAGAGAGAGGAGAGAACGTAAGAAAGAGGTAAGCAAGAGTGAAAGAAATTGAGAGTGAACACATGAAAGACCCAGAGTTAAACATTATGAAATACTTGAGGTCTTCCTTTTTACAGGTGTTATATAGTCACTTTTTTATTGATAATAACCAATTATGTTATCCCATTATTATGATAAGTGTGGGCCAGTGTTATTATGGTATAAATCCAGTTAGTATATTATTTCAATTTTAAAAGCTTTGTGATCCTAGATCTTTTACTTAAGATGTTTCAAGTGGTTAAGTCATTCTTTGGTTGTAGTTCCAAGAAGCATATAGACAGTATCTGGTATGAGGACATTTGGTGTGGTAACCTAAGGGAGGGACAACGAAAAAGTGAAGAAAGAGAAAAAATACCATAAGAAATAATAGATAGAAGAAAGGTACGGAGAGAGTGTGACATAGCTTACCCCTAAGTCAGTCAGTGATATTCCCTAGGATTCTGCCAAGCCAGCAATGTCAGCTACAGGGCTTGTTGAAAGTTATACAAGTGACCTACGGGTCAAAGACAAGCCTAAGCCTATTTGAAGTTGCAATGCCTTACAAACACTCGCTATCCCGTTTCTGCCGGGCCACGCCTTGCAGCATCATAACAAACCACTTGGTCTGTGGAGTACGGCAGTACGCAGGGCATTTGGCTTGATGTAGCGAACTCCCGCACTCAGACTCGGTTTGTTGCCATTAATCTCCAGAGTGTAGAATTTTTTACTTATTTTCTTCACTGGCAGAAATGGGTTATAGGGAACAGGCACACATCTCCCAATTGCATAGGTTTCATTAAACAAGTTTGAAGATAAAATTCTTAAATGATGAGTTTAGGGCTTAGTTTTATGAACCCTTCCCAACAGCTTCATATTTACTAATGTGTATAGGCCTTTTTGTATAAAGTTAAAGAGTTGCACTCCATAACAAAACAATATTTTTGAAAAAGATTTGCTCTGAAATGGAGATATTGAGCTTATTCTACTAGATCACTGCATTCAGCCTTATAAACTTATATATGGTTTCAATTTCAATGATTGTTATGCTGCAAATCATCTTTCTGATGCTTGTAAAAATAAAACCAAACCTTTCCAGATGGCCCTCTACCCTATACTGACAGTCAAGTTTTGGTCTCGACCACAAGTACCAGAGCAGATAATAACTTGTGGTTCAAGTGACAGCCATCGAGGTATACATGGCAGTACAGTTGAAGCTACAGCTTTCTACAGAATGAAGACCCTTATTACACAACAATTTTGTGAATATGAGAATGGTGATACACAGCAAACAACTATTGAAATCCCCTTACAATCAGCAGCTCACTGATTGGAATATTTAATTTGGTCAACATTAGATGAATCTCATTTCTTCTCAAACCAGATTTTACTAAAACTTGTTACTGATACCTACAAATAACATCACATGAATCATAAGGTTTTAAGTATAAACAAATTATTACGCAGGGTACCCTCTTGTGAAGCATTTGATGAAGTTCCTTACATAAAGTATTTATATCATCTATGAATGTGGCCAATGGTTTCTGGAAGGACACTGTTCTGTGGTAGACAATTGCTTTTAAAATTCTATGGTTATTGATAATTAAAAGAAAAAGAGGAAAGAAAAACAAAAAGATATGCTCCCATGGATGAAATCTACAGACAAGCAAAACTGAGTTTTTAAAAGAGACTTGTCTCTCTTAACCCTCATTAATGGTATCAGAAATCTCTCGGTGTCACTAACTCCAGTGACTTCTGGCAACTGTCCTGCCGTTTGGCATGGGAGTCCACTACACGTAGCGGAACATTCCACTTGACTCGCTCTAGTGCACTGCAATTTCTATAGCCATACCTATCATGATCAGTCACTTTGTTATGCCGGCCATAGGCGTGGCCTTGCAGATGTGGGTTAATCTCTCTATTTGCATTTTATCATATCAAGTACTGGTCAGCTGATAACAAGCATACCTCCATAACTACTGAATACTCAGGATTTCTTTCTCGCCACAACACATATAGCAGCCTACAGGTGGGCTGACCATTAGAAGGCATAATATGAGACCTCAATATTGATTTAGGCATTAAGCAGCAGATTATGATTGGCAATTGTGAATGTGTATCAATTTTGCACAGACTTTCATCGCAAATAGTGCTGCTTTGTGTCTTCTTTCTCACTACTACACCGATTGTTCTCAAGCTTGAGTTGCCACAGACTTCTCAGTCATTCTTTACAATAGCTACACATTGCCAATACTAAAAAATTTTAATACTGTACACATAGTAGTTTGCATACGAGGAGACCACAAGTAGCAACAATATTCTGGCCTTCCTGGGAATAAATTACCACAAGTGGGGCATTTTGCACCCCTAGACTGTGGTAGGGGTGTGGTGGAGAGCTATTAGTGTTTTGTCATTTGTTTTGCATTATGCAGTAAATTATATCAGCCTTTAACCCAATGGCGCCGGGTGTACAAAAGAAAAAAAAAACTCTACGCTTAAACAAACAAAGGCGGCGCGCCGACTTTGAGCGCGTGAGTAGGGGACATCAGCCCGAATCACTGGCTCGCCGCGCTTTGGCTGCACGCCAGCTTTCGAGCTCATTGTTTACACGCCGATCGGCGTCACCCGGCACGAAGGGGTTAATTCAAGGGGCGTGAACTTTACAGTCATCAATTCAAACAAATCTAAAAACTTGAATCAAAACTATTCTGTCACCTTGTTAATTCCTGGCACTCTAAATAACAACTGTAATTTTATGAATAGACATGCAATTAAACACACTTCCCAAAGTGGTGGAGGCGTGTACCAGCGCGTGCGAGTGCTACTGCACGCCTTTCCCAGGAAGGCCTGAATATTTGTCCCAACAACTGAGGAGGGAACAAGAAAACTGCATAACAAATAATATTCTAATGGATGAAATACAATATCATATCTGCAAAAACTCAAATACAGTTTCCAGGGGTCTCTATTTATTATATCCATCCCCTGAGTTACTTTACTGAGTTACCAACATCAACCATTACCATGAAGCAGTATAAAATCTACAAACTGACTGGCCCAATCCCATGAGCAATAAATCCTACAACACATCCTTGGGTTTTTGTTATTGAGAACAATGCACCCACCAGAGACATAGTCCAAGAAAACAAAAAACACAACATTAAGAACTGCTGTGTGAAGGCGCTGCAGACTTAGACACTGAACAGTGATATGCAGCAAATATCATCGTCATTTCCCAGTGTTACGCGGCAGCTGTACCTGTGTTAATTGTGACTATTTCTCAATCTCTATAAGATGGCAGTGTCCATTTTTCTCCATCTCTGTGCATCGCTATCGATAACATTAATCCACTCTTGCAAGTAAGTCTAGACAAGCTCCTTATTTTACAAAAAAAATCACTACAATATACACGGTCCTTCCAGCCAAAGCGAACGCTGTCGATGTTCATTTGTAAGCAGCTGGAGCACAGAAAGGTGCAGCGTCCACAGCAATCGCTTGACAAAATGGTCAGCAATAAGCCAATAATGTTGCTTTAGATGCTTTCAGCAGGCAAACTAGCTTTTCTAAAATGAATATAACAGATGCTACTCATAAATTAGCAATCTGTATTAATTATGCTGCAATTCTTAATCAGTAAAGTGTATTCCTACGTTCTTTTCCTATTTCCCGACTAAAATATACAGAAACAGCAGGCTTATTGAAATTCCCGAATACAATGGAAGTGACCACAACCGCCCTAATGACATACCCCAGAAACATAAAGAACAAAAATAGCAAGAGAAGAGATATTGCACTCTGTCCCTCTCGCCGTCAGAAGCAAATAGAAAAAGATCCAAACAACACGACCGGAATGACAAGAGATTCGGGGAAGCCATAACAGCCCGTCCCGGAATCGCCCTCTTCGCCAGGCTCTTCCCCCGCCTCCTCCGCTCACCTTCGGTCTCCTTCGTCGGGTACAGCCTCTCTGCCTTCTGCGCGAACCTCTTGGCCTTGTCCCGGTTGCCTTCCTTAAAGTGTTTCTGCGCCAGGCTCAAGCATTTCTCCGCCTCGTCCTTGTTCCCGTCGTGAACCATCGCTGGGTATTTCCAGGTGTAAACACTCGCGATGAGAGCCGGCCAGGCATTGGTCGGAATCGGCAAATCATTGGAAGATCCTCGGCGGCTCGGCCAATCAGCGCGCGGCTTGCAACTGGCTGAGGGAGGGTGCTGCCACCTGACGGCAGGAGCGGGAACTAATCTGCCTTCATCAGCTGATGGAGGGGTCGAGTTGCCGGTTTGTTTTTTTTGCGCGCATTTTATGGCTAATCTCATGAATAACGTCTTCATTTCTGTTCGAGTTACTCTTCTCTCTTGTGGAATGGAATGAAAGAAGTAAATTAACGAATGAATTAACCAACCTTACGTTATGGAGCTAAGTTGTGATTAAAGCTCCCTGGAGATACAGAATCGCTGGGAACAGACATTTATATGTCCGTAAATTAACCTCAATTGGTCATCGTGTTGATGGTTTTCATCTGTCACATTTAACTCAAAGTTAAAGCAAAACCTCTCTGGCATCTGCCTTCTTGCCGTCGACATTTTTGAAAAAAAATATCACTCTTTTTTGTTGATGAACTTCGAGCGAAGGCTTATTAGCTGACGCAACTATTGCATTACAGAATGTTCTGCGGCGTCGCCCCACATTTTGGAGATGAAGCATCTGATGGAGAAGGATGGGCAGCACGCACGGACACACACACACACACACACACACACACACACACACACACACACACACACACACACACACACACACACACACACACACACACACACACACACACACACACACATACATACACACACGAACGCACACACACACAAACACACACACACACACACACGCACATACACACACATGCACACACGAACACACACACACACACATACACACACATACACACACGAACACACACACACACACATACATGCATACATACACACACACACACACACACACACACACACACACACACACACACACACACACACATACATACATACATATATATATATATAATATATATATATATATATATATATATATGTATATATATCTGTGTGTGTGTGTGCGTGTGTGTATAATCTGTGTGTGTGTGTGCGTGTGTGTGTGTGTGTGTGAATGTATATAGGTATACCACATATATGCATATAGATAGATAGTGTATTGAGAGAGGCCAATGTCCTGCAGTGGAATGAATGGCTGTATAAAAAAAAAAAGAAAAAAAAATATATATACATATATATATCTATATCTATCTATCTATCTATCTATCTATCTATCTATCTATATATATATATATATATATATATATATATATATATATATATATATATATATATATATATACGTATCTGTATGTATTTACACACAAATAGTTATCAATGAAGTAGCTCATATTTGTGCGTCTTTTCGATGGATCATGATAGAACAATTCTTTTCAAATATCATAGGCGTCTGTAATGAAATAATTATCATTGGTATTATCAAGCAAGCTTTTCAGCCGTGTTGTCGAAGTCCCCCATGAACACGCGCCAACCCTCCGTTTTCTGTAATGGCCGTTGCCAACGCGTCCGGCCGGCCTCTCACGACGCCCGGCGGTTGCTCTGCCGCCCGGAGGGAGGCCGGCCGCTGCAGCACCAAGGCCTTATGCATTAACCGCATGATGCAATGGCAGGAACTTAAAGAAAGTCCGTTACACATGTAGGGAGATACACATACACATACATATTTACTTACGCACATATACACGCAGACACAGATATTCACATGCACACACACACGCACGCACGCACGCACACACACACACACACACACACACACACACACACACACACACACACACACACACACACACACACACACACACACACACACACACACACACACACACACACACACACACACACACACACACACACACATACACACACACGCGCGCGTTTGCACACAGGCTTTTACATTTCTGTGTCTGTAGATAGGGGAGACAGTGAGACGTACCTGCAAATTGGCAACAACTAATTCAGTGTCAAACAGTCCGTCAGTGACTTACATAAGTCATCGGAGAAATGCAAAGCCACGCAAGTCAGTCGGTTGAAGCGCCAGACAGAAGCCCGGAAACTCCCCTCATCCGGGTTCGCCCAGGGCGGTCGATTTATGCTGTCATTTTATCATGATCATTGTTATTACCATTGTTGTTATTATTATTATTATTATTATTATTATTATTATTCTGAAGTAGTTCCGGTAAAGGTATATATAGACCTTCTTTCCGGGAGGAGGCCGCCCCGGCCCGTGGTCAGCTGTCCGGCCCATTTTTGGTATATGCCAATCTCTCCTTCTCTTTCCTTCCCTCTCCCTCTCTTTCTCCACGCCTTCTCTTTCCTTCCCTCCCCCTCTCATTCCTCCCTTCCCCCCTCCTTCTCTTTACCCCCCTCTCCCCCTCCTTCTCTTTCCTCCCTCCCCCTCTCATTCCTCCCTCCCCCTCTTCCGGGCCGCAGCGTCTATTGGCAGTGAGCTATTTTCCTTCTTCTCGACCGTCTTGGGTCAGTAACACGCTTCTGAAGTTGAGTCCAATTGAAGCCTCACCTCCCTCATTTCCACTTTGCTTCCCGTCTGTTGACAGCTCCGTTTCTCCGCATGGGGGGGGGGGTACCTCCTCCTGCATCCTTTTCGCGCCCGCCTCGCTGGCCGCCGCCGTCTGTCCTGCTTCCTTCTTCCTCTTGCCCGCCTGCCGTTCCCAGAAATTCGCTCCTGCTGCTTCCCCGCCCGCGTCGGCCTTCGTCTCTGAGGTTCCCCCTCTCCCCCTTGTTCCTCTCCTGGCGGAGGGCGCGGCCGCTCCGTCGCCCCGGGCGCGAGGCCGGTCTGCCGGAGCGCCCGGAAGTTATGAATGAGAATGAAGAAACATTAGTGTTTTCTTCCTTCGCAATGCCATACAGGTTACCGTAGATTTATGTACTTTATTGATTAATTAATGATAATAATAATAATAACCAGACGGTAATTCGGAATGTCACCAAAATTTAATCAGTTCTAAGTTAGTCCCTTTCTGACTTGTCCCCAAATATTCGATGAAATCCGGCCAGCACTTTTTGAGCTACGCTGCTAACAAACTAACCAACAAACCCACGCCGTCAAAAACATAACCTCCTTGGCGGAGGTAATAATAATGATAATAATGATATCAGTAATGGTAATAATGATGCTACTACTACTACTGCTACTGCTAATTATAATAATAATAATGATAGTAATAGTAACTAGAAAAGCACTTAGAGAGGGCAGACCTCTGCCAAGGTGCGTATATAATATATATACTTTGGTTGAGGATGAAAAGGATCAGACAGCTCGGAGTTTCTTCAAAAAAGAAAAAAAAGGCCCTCATACACAATTAAAAGGCAACAGTTTGCTTTTAATTGTGTATGAGGGCCATTTTGTCTCAAACATTTTTACGGGAAAACAAATATCAGTGAGAATTTGGGGTTAAAGTAAAAAAAATAGCCCTCATAC